ATGTCCTAGGGACTGTATATAGTCATGTAGGATAGACTGAGGACTTTTGATCTAAGCTCTCTTACTGTTCCTTGTTTGGTTGTGGTTCTTGAGTAGGATCACATGTCCGGGTAACTATCTCACCTCTGAGTATATTCGGCCATGCATTCCTTGGATTGTTGATATATAGTATGCTGCTATGCTATAATGATCTGGTAGATCTATGTTCTGTTATCGAGTATGCTGCTATGCTGTAGTGACCTATTAAATTTGTGTTCTGGTATTGAGTATTCAACTTTGCTGTAATAACCTGTAGAACCGTATGTTATATGTGTTTAGCGGGTCGAAGGCACCAATGCCAGCCCATGGTTTATTATGTAGGGTGCTAGATGTTTGCATGAATCTTGCATGTGTATGTGCTTGTATGCTTACTGGGCGGGGCCCGATGGTTATTTTGTATGCTAGTATGTTGTTATGCGTATATGATTTGTATGTGGGCAGGGCCCATTATGCGAGTTTGGGCGGGGCCCGTTATACTCAGTGGGCGGGGACCGATGATTGGACGGTATGCTATTATCTTTGTGATTTTCGCATGTGTTTGTATGTTTATATGATTATACGTTTACATGTTTAGTGGGCGGGGTCCGTTATATGAGTTTGGGCAGGGCCCGTTATATTCAGTGGGCGGGGCCCGTTATTTGAGTTTGGGTGGGGTCCGTTATATTCAGTGGGCGGGACCCATTATATGAGTTTGGGTGGGGCCCGTTATACTCAGTGCCGGGGCCCGTTATAATCAGTGGGTGGGGCCCGTTATATGAGTTTGGGCGAGGCCCATTATACTCAGTGGGCGGGGCTCGTTATATGTATGATATGTATGGTATGTGGTATTTTGGGAAACTCACTAAGCTTTATGTTTACTCATTTGTTTATTGTTTTAGGTATCATAGGTGTCTACGGGAAGGCGAAGGCGAGACTGTACACACGCATCAGGAGCATTGAGGATTCCACGTTCTCTTTAAAAATTTTATTTTAAATAAATGTTATTTGGAATGAACGGTTTTCTTAATAACAGATTTTATAAATTGGTAAGTTTTATCTTAATAAAAATGAAAATATTTGGTTATGAAAACGCACGTTATAGGTTGTTTGTTGGCAGTTGTGGGGTTACGAGTGGTCTCTTGAGTTTATTTGTGGATGCCTTAAATTCGAGGTGGTCGGAGGGAGCTTATGGAATTTATTGGTGTTGTTTTAAGAGATTCTAACTGAGACGGATTTCGAGGACGAAATCTAGTTTATGTGGGGGATAGTTGTAACATCCAATTTCGAGATGTTCTTATTTTGAGATTCTGGACCGTAATTCGATCATGTAAAGACTTTGGGCTTCAAGGGAATAAAGCTTAGACCTTATAGGATGTTGATAATATTGGTTTTTTGATCCTAGCCTCGATTTGTGTTTTGGAGCAAAACAGTAAAATGGGAAAAGTGATGTTTCAGAATTCTTGCATGAATTAATAATTTTAGTTTGGTATGTTTTAAGTCAACAATAATTAGTTAGAATTGTGCGGCTTGTCAATACCATCACGTGGATTTGGGAAAACGAGTTCTCTACGGCGTGGAGAGGAGTTTTCCATAGCGCGGAGAGCTGCAGCCCAAGCCCATTAAAGTAGAGTTTGGCTCGTATTTATGGGCTTCAACCCCTTGTTTTAGGTCCTTTTGCAGCCTCCATTTCACCTAGAACACCTCTTTTTATCAAACCCTAGCCTCCATTCATAGATTTGAGCTCTACTCTTTACTCTCTCCACTTTTGGATGCTTTTGGTGGTGTTTTGATGAAACATGAAGATCAAGAAAATTCTTTTGGTTTCAAGGAATGTTGTTTCAAGTTTGGATCCATCAAAGACACTATATTTATGGACTATTCTGAGTATAAAGTTCCAATCTTGCTCTTTAGTTCTTTAGATCTTGTTATTTGGAGTTTTTTACTTTTGGTCCATTTTGTGGGTGATCTTGGAGTTGAGTGGACTCCAACATCTTTTGATCAGTTTGGAATGCTTCTTTGACCTCATGGACTAGGAAAGTTATGATTGTTTGTCTTCCCTTTTATTCGTGCATGTTATCTAGGTCTGTTAGGTCATTTTGGTATATTAAAGTTTAGATCTTGAAAGTTTGTGACATTACTATGGATAAAGTTGGAAACTTTATCCATCTAAACATCTTGTTGAGTCAGATCTAAAAGTGTGAGACTTGGACTTAATGGATTAAGTTGAGAAATATGCATTATTGCTCCCCTTGAGACATAAAGTCTATATCTTGGTGGTTTGGACCATCCTAATAGATAAAGTTGGAAACTTTATCAATTTTGAAGCTATGAGGAACTATATCCAATGATATGGGCTTTAATCCTTATGGATTAAGCTCTTATTGAAGAAACGCTTTTCAAATTGAAACCAGGGTGTGGCCAAGGAAGGCCCACGATGTGGTGGCGGGACTTATCGCATTTATATTGTTGGAACGTACCCACGGTGTGGCAATATACTCGCCACAGCGTGGCGACGAGTTTCTTCATGACTGTTTTGCTTGGATTCTGCCACAACGTGGTAGCAAATTTCGATCAAGACCGAATTGAGTGGCCACATCATGGTTATGGGTTGGCTAGGACGTGGAGGACAACTAGAGTTGACTTTGATCGTTGACTTTTTGACCTATTTGACTTTTGGTCAAACTTGGGTAGAATTGAGTATTTGACTAAGGACTGATCTTGGTTTGGCTTTAGGAAGCTTGAGTTGGCTGTTTTGTTGCTGAGGTAGTGTGAGCTTTTGGTGAGTAGTTCAGGTGAGTCTTCTCACTATAATGTATATGATACTAGTTGTCTTTATGATACTTGCATGAAAGACCATGGGAGTAGCCCATGGAAATTGTATGAACAATTATGAGGTAGCCCATGTCACTTGGATGTACGACTATGGGGTAAGGTAGCTTATGGATCACCATAAAATTTTTATTTCTACGTTATATTCTTCTCTTAGTTTTCTTTCGCTCTCTTTCTTAGACTATATATATATATATATATATATATATATATATATATATATATATATATATATATATATATATATAGCAATGGTGAGCTGGAATAGAAATTATTTCCTAGGTTAGTGGTGTGGCAATGAAGATATAGCGAAGCTGAGATTACGGTGACGTAGAATTATTTTTGAATATCAATAATAATAATAATAATAATAATAATAATAATAATAATAATAATAAACAACGAATATGAATAAGATTTTTCTGTTTTGGTTAGCTAAAGAAACAAACTTAGACAATGGCCTAGTTCGTTTGATTTATGTTTGCTTGTTAATATTTATTTATAGTTTATGTTTGTTCATTTACGTTTATTTATGTTTGTTCACGTTCATTTATGTTGTGGGTAATTTTTCTATGTTTTTCTAGTAACATCTATTTAAAGATTTGTTTATATATGTTCAGACTGATTTGGATTTTTGGTTCATGTATCTACGTAGGGATGAGCAAAAATCAAACCAGAAACCATAAAACTGACACCGACCAAACCAAAATCGAAAAACATACAAAACTGACAGAATGAGTTTAAATTTTTATAAAAACCGATGTTAGCGGTTCAGTTCGATTTTATATTATAAACTCAATCAATAAAACCGAACCAGCCCATAAGTTTAAAAACCAACCAAAAACCGACCCACAGAACCGATCCATCATATATATTATTTAATATTTATTATATATATATATATATTATATATATATATATATATATATATATATATATATATATATATATATATATATACTTTACTAGGTGTGAGACTCATGTATTACATGAGTTTATTTAAAAGAAAAACTAAATACAAAATTCTAATTTGAGAAGTTTGAATTTATAAGAAAAGTGAAAAAATATTGAATTATAAAAATTAAAGTGTTTTTTACTTTTAAATTTAAACAAATAATTAAAATAAATAGATAAAGAAAATTAATGAATCTTTAATTTAGTAATTTTGAAATTAGAAGGAAAATTCATTAATTAAATTGATATGCATTTATTATTGCATTTAAATACTATATAGAATTTAATAAAATGAAAAAACTATAAAATAACATGTGGAATAAAAATTAATTTAAAATAACCACAAAATTACATGTGGCAAAATAAATAAGAATGTTAGATGTGACAAAAAGATCTTTATTTATTAGAGAGGATGTTTAAGAAACGAAACTATGCTATTATGTTTGATTTGTGTTATGTTCGGAAACAAAATTGAAATTATTTGGGTACTCTAACCATTTTTACCCTTGCATAGTTTTCTTAGTATATTTAAATTAGGTATGATACAATTTATAACAACGTACTTTTTGTGGGTTTGAACCGAAAAGACCCAAAAAACCAGAAAACTGTGAACCCACAAAACCCACAGTTTCAAACCGAAATCCCATAAATCCAAAACCCAAACCGAAAACCCAAGCTCATATGAGTTTTAAAACCGAAAAACCGAGTTTTTAGGGTTTGGTTTGGCTTAAGCCAAAACCAATCCAAACCGATCTATGCTTATCCTTATATCTATATGATTATTAATTTGGATGCTATGTTCATTTATATTCTTTTGTCTAGATTGTTTATGTTGGTTCATTTATAATATTGTTTAACATCTTTAGGAACATAAATGACCACAAATAGTGTAATTTACATTTTCATTTATTTTGTTAACTTATATACTAACGACCATTAAAAAGCGAATTCGATACGGTAGTCGTCTTCTTTGCTCGTTCGCAGTGGAAAGGCCATTCTATGTGTTTACACAAGACATAAGTACGTATTTTTACTAGTTCTTCTACTTTTAGTCAAAGTCTACTGCTGACTTAAGCCTACAGTTGTATCGCAAGTTTTGTGTCAAATATTTTTACAGATATGTTAGAAGAAGACTTCAATTAATTATTGTAGTTGGTATCAGAAAAATCTGGACATTAACGGTGGTAAGGATACATATGTTACCTGGTGGTGGTTGAAACGACGGAGACCCCAGTGATGGTGAGGGGTATAACCAGAGTACTCATGTTAAAAAACCTATATGTCTCGTACCTAAAATTACACGTAGGTAGAAGACCTCTTCCTTTACTGCTCCCAGTATAGTACTCACTCGCAAACGTATTGATTGAATTATCCAAGCAAGCAGTGCACTGCGCTTCTGATAAGTATGGAGTACACTGAACAAGCCCATAAATCGTTGAGACATCTGGCCCACTCGTGTTCCCAGCAGCAAACTTCAGTAGCGGACCTCCGGCAGCCGCATCAGCTGTCAGCCGTTTCAACAATGGCCCCGGAGACCCATTGAAACGGGATTGATCCGTTGCATTTAGTATGTTCCACTCAAATGATGGATTCTTATTTGTTCGAGGGTTTCCCAAAATATACTCCTTGGAGTATTGCAACAAACAGATGTCGTAAAATATCACTGCAGCTTCGCTATACTCTTCGCAGTTTTCTCGCAACTTAACAATAGAGTCATTCACACAACTCTGGCACAAATCGGACTCGACGTCCCCCCGGCAAAGGGCGATGGAGTAGACTCTGTCGTTTCCTTGGCCGGCGGAGAAGTTGAAGAAACCAAATCCAGAGTTGGTGTTGAGGAGGCCGGAGAAGGTGTTGTCGAGATTTCTTTGGTACGTACTATTTCTGGTATCATTAGCTAGGCTTTCACACTGACTGGTAATGAAATTAGCTTCCGCTAGGATGATGGTATTGTTTAAATACATGAAGATAACTGAGAACCATAAGAGGAGTATTCGGGCGAGCATGAACATGGATTCTTGGGGAGGAGAAAGTGGCGATATGGAATTTGAAAAGTTTATTGAAATGTATGTATTGACTTGCCTATTTATTAGAGAAATATATGTATTGACTGTTAAAAGACGCGATAAATCTCTGTTCCACTCGTTTCCTGTTGGACTTGAAGATTTTTTCATTTTCCATATACCATGGTTTCTTAAAGAGTTTCTTTTCTACAAGCGGGTTTGTTTGGGTAAAAGTTTGCAAATATACAGTTTAAGAAATATGGTAAATTACATAAAAATCGTTATGTTTTTAATTTTTTGTTATTTCTATCATTGTTTTTTTTTTCAATAAAGATATTATTTTTCTAATTTGTTTGAATCTTGATCACTTAACCGATTGATTGTACTCTTTATGACATGATACATCTTGATGATATAGTATAAGAAATTCTATACAATCTTGAAATTGATTTGTGTATCCCTTTGTGATTGAAATATTGTTTGTATACCCCAAACTTATATGACCAAGATAAATATAATAGAACTATACTAATATTGTATGTCAAAAAGTTGAAAAAGCTAAAATATACGTTTGTCAAATTTGGCTGCATCATTAAAATAATGAAATTATGAATTTGACTTTGAACTTTGCAAAGTTATCCCTTTCATTTTTTTTTCAATCTTTCTAGAATCACAATCATTCATTATCATAGTAGAACTCCTTTACACCTATAGGTTATATATATATATATATATATATATATATATATATATATATATATATATATATATATATATATATATATATAAAAAGTCGTGGCTATAAAGCCTTTTTTTTTTTTTGTTTTTGGTATCTAATTGCCAGCTTCGTTTTTGTTGTTAGCGGGTACATTGAAGCCGATTAGCTTTAGTGCTCTTCTACGGTTGCAACCTATGTCCGTTTTTTGTACAACTATCTTCGGTCTTCCAATTTGGGGGTTATCACAGTCCGATTCCTTTTTTTCCTTCTTTGTCTTTTCGATTTCTTAGGTATGTTTTTACCCTTTTCCTTTTGGCGGTTGCTTACCTGTTTTTGTTTACGATTATATTCTGCTATACGTGTTTTGTATTCTTTTGTTTGTTGTTATTTCCTTAAGTTTGTTTCTTTCTTTCTAGCGTCGTTTGTTCTTTCCCCTTTTGTACATAGTGTTGCCTTTTACGTTAATATCTTCTAAGAAACAGTGAACCTCTGTTGCGTCGACATTAGGTAGCTCAAGGAGGATTTCAAGACCCATGTTATACTCATTGTTGTCGATCGGGTGATGTTCTTTCGTATCCTATTACTCTACCGTATGTGTTGTCTCGGTGTGTTGAAGACGATAGTTGTATGCGCAATGTCAGAGCATATATTCCATGTTTTTATATGACGTCTTTTGGTGCAAAGGTAGATGAAGGAATTAATATTGTCGTGCTCCATATGTCTTCAAGGTATGTGGTCAGATTTCCCATTGGATTGGGTCTCTTTGTCCTCAGGATGATGGTCCCCCGTGTTTTTACAGTTATATATGTGTGATATTGAGAATGAGGTTGTAAATCGGATTCGTTCTTTTCGTGAAGACAACAACGTGGTGCAGTTTGCGGATATTGTTGCTTCCCTAAGTGACATATTAACTGCAAACAACGAATACATGCGTACTTTTAGGGAAACAAAAGAAATTACCCAGTCTATGAGTTTGGATTCATACACAGTTCGTCTATTTAACACTGTTCCTATAGGAGATATGGGCCCCCGGCTGCAGGTATTTTGGGTTGCATCGTTTTTGGAGATGATGTTGGTGGTGTCGTCTATGGTGTTGTCATATACTCAAAGGGAGGATTACCTCGGCATGTATGTAAATTACATCCAATTTCCAATATTTAAGCAGTTAACAAAGTCATTGCAGGTCTTGGCTCTACTCTACAAGCTGAAAAGGAAGCACTTTCTCGTGTGCGTTCTGATCTTCGCGTTGACAATACTGAGCTTAATACTTCCATTCTTACAAAGATTGAGATGCTTCAGACAGATCTTGTTGCAGAAAATAAAATAATGGATAAATTGGTTGAGAAGACTGAAAAGGCCAAAACTTTTTCCGTGAAGCTCCATTATAGGAACAAGCGTGTGGATGACTTGGAGTCTGAGAAAAAAATCATTAAGAGTTGTTTCTCAGAAATCAATAAGTACCTGCACCGTCTTGTGGAGACTCGTGACTCCTCGCTTACCATCTCTGTTCGTCAACACCTCTCGGAGAAACTTCAACCCGTTTTCTCAATGCTTAATAGATTAGAAGGTGTTTCGGAAAGTGATGCTCTTCCGAAACAAGAGGGAGGTAAGAAAGCAGAAGAACCCCAACCAAAGCCAAAAACTGAGGAAACGAAGCAATCTGAGCAAAATCCAAAGCCAAATGATCAGAAGGATAATCTAGCTTCTGCATCATCAAAAGGTAAAGAAAATATGGTGTTTGAAGAAGAAGAAGAAGAAGAAGAAGAAGAAGAAGAAGAGAAGAAGAAGAAGAGCTTACTAAAGGCGAGAAGCTCAATAGGAAGAAACGTGACAAAGAGCTTGATCATCTTCTGCATCTTCGAAAAGAATTAGAAGCTCAGGAGGCTGAAGCGAAAATTGCTAAAGTCACTCTTGAGAATCAGAAGTTTCTTTTTCCACCATAGTCTATGGATAGAATTTAGAGAGAGGTTGTCGCTGATCCGAGCATCCATTGGTTGGAGCCTTCGTTATCATTCGTTCTGAATAATTCGGCTAATTCGCAGCTTGATTTTCCGATTACTCCAAGGGCTTTTATGTTTTGATGTTTTGAGAAGATTGAGAAAGTACCACTCTCGGAATATGAAGTTAATCATATGCTCTTCTCTTTCTATCTTAAGTATGGCAAGCCTCAATTTCAGATCTGGAGTTTAAAGAATATCGTTGCATTGAAGGTTGATGTATGCTCTTATTCAAACTGAAAACTTCATAAATATCAAGTTTAAAGGATTCCGAGGTGCGAATCGCATCGAAGATGAATTTACTCTCGTTGATCTACCGTGCATGAATCCTTTCAACTAGATTTTAGTGTTCTTAATTGTTTCAAAAGATGAGAAAATGTTTGAGCCATCGTTGCTCACTTGAAGAGAATGTTGATTTGTTACATTCATGAGGTTGCCAAAATGGATGTAGAAATTGCAGCTGTTCTAAAGAATAAGCCTATGCTGAAACCTGAACCAGAACCGAAGGACCTTCACAAGCTCAATCTGGGAAAAATCCGAAAGGAACATTGGAGTGTGGTATATCAACGAAAGGAGGGTGACAAAGTTTTGAAAAACATGCTCTTCTTGCGAGACAAGCATCTATACTCCACTACAGCTCTGAATTCTATCATGGGTTTAACTGAAGTGTACAAGGGAAATTCAGTAGCGGATCAGAAATGCTTTTTCTGATATGGACAAGTGGTATCCCAAAGCGGTACGCGTCCTGATGCTCATCCATAGTCTCCATGATCCCCTCCTTGATCGTACCAAAGATCACAGGAATCGGCTCCAAAATACAGCGGGTGATCTCTGACGAAATCAACTCTTGCATCCGCTCATCCATCGGCTCAGTGCCAACACCTAAACCTGAACCAGATCCTCCTCCGTGAGTGCTCATCACCATTTTGAAAAGCAACCACACAAAAATCAGATCATACCCATGAAATCCCTTATCCTATAGGTTTCCTAGAATCTTCGTGACCCTCATTGATTCGAGTATGGATCCTATGCTTTTAGTAGTACGGGCCTAATACTACCTTCCATACCTATCCATACTTTCCTCAAGAGTTATACCAAATCCTCTAAGTCACCTTCTCAAACTGATATTCCAAATATCCGCTAAACAGCACAATCAAACCCACTATAACACTTCCTAGACTCTCCTAGGTTCCCGAACCTCACCCTGCCATCAGCTACTGAAGAACTCCCACTAATGTTAGCTAATTACTTCATGAAAACAATCACATGCAACAAAGCTTAGATGATCCTTTGAGTAAAAGACTCAACCCTACAACAGTTAGACTCAAACAAGAGCTATGCAATAGAGTCAAATCCATCACTCTGAGATTATTTAACCTTTGCAGCATGTGACTTAACGTATTCACTTAATAGTTAACTCACATCACTAAGGGTTCCACAAAGCACAAAGCAAGTAGCATTCATGCAGTACACACTCCAAGCCACAAAGCAAACAAAGAACATCTCAAGCTCACTTACTACTACCATGTTAGGAACTTCCACTCTCACTGTCGGTTGCCTTATACATGCAAATTATACACAATACAAGTCAAATAGACTATCGAATAAAAGACTATATCTAGGACCACAACCAGATGAGGAATAGGAAATAAGGCCAAGTTAGTCATTCTAGGGCTATATGATCCTAATCATATACAATTTTTAAAGCATACACTTAGCAATAACTTCTACCAATACATATTCTAAATCTAGCATAACATCCAATTCGTCCTAGGCTACGAGGCATCACATATCAGGCAAATCTATCATGCAATTCATGAAAGTATCCTTAGCCTTATCCTAGCATGCAAACATTCATATCATATAACATATCAACATGTATGCGTATTTTTGGAATCACTTACTTAAGCTCGATTGATTGCACTCATCATACCCCCTTTCTTTCTATAAAAATCTTTTTAGAAATTGTTTTCTTTCAAAATATTACAAATTCCTCAGTTTGCGTTCAGTCACACCCGAGAATGTGTCTGAATTCCTCAAACCAAGGCTCTAATACCAACTTGTAACATCCTAAAATCCATGGAAAAATTTTCATTTTTAAAACATTAATTCATATAACATTCTATTCCCAACATATTCAATGAGAAAAATAGTATTTAAACGTCAGAGTAAAAATCACGTCGGGCCCTTCCCCTTCGAACCGGAAGTACCTAATGTTGGGTTTTGGTATACTACAACATCCTATGGTGCACATACAACCCTAAAAGCTTTGGATCTATGTTTTCTCTAATTAT